GCACCACCTGTCAAGTGTGAATAATAAATGCAAGAGTCAAGTAAGGAGATGGAGAGACACAATCAATTTATTGTGGTTCAGTCAACATGACCTATGTCCACTTTTGAATGGCTTTGGTTGCCTGATACTTTATTAACTCATGGGTGCAGGAAGCAGAGAGTACAAACTTAGAGAGAAATGAGAGAGTCGTGCTCAACAGAGTGAGATCTGTCACCCAAGTGTTGGTGGGACTTACAATTTATAGTCGCCCTTCTAACAGATTTGAGCAAGATATTAGTAAGTAGTTGGCTAGTTTGTTGGATCTAACGAGTTCTTTTCAACGTGCTAGGCAGTTGCGGTGTTCTCCATGAGATTCGGTCAAAGGATGAAGTGGGGTGTTGACTATCTCCAGGACAGCGAAGATAAGGCTTTGGATGACCTTGCTTGCTCCCTTAGCTCCTTGAGCTGCTGAGCTTGATCGGGTTGACCACACTGATGAGCTTGACTGGGTAGAGCTGATGAGCTTGACCGGGTTGGCCACACTAGGCTGAATTCGTTAGATCTCTTGGAGTCAGACTATAAACTTGAACTTGATTTATAACATGAGTTGGACCTTTGAGCTTAACCCATCAGTTAATATTTTTTGTTTTATTTTTCAAAATTTTAATATTTAATATTATTATTTTTTGTTTTGAATGTTCCTACTTTTCTTATGTGTATGTATACATATACATGAGAAAAATATTATATATACACATGAGAAAAAAGTAACTTTCAAAAATATGAGAGAAATAGTCTAATCTATATGTGTATATAGATAAATATAAGAGAGATAAAAATAATTTTAATGTGAGAAAAACCCTAAAATTTAGGAGTTTTTAGCTTTCAAGTATGTTTTAATTAGATGTAATGTTACTATTTTTGTTTTGAAATCATCTTAATCTATATGTATATAGATAGATACATGAGAGAGAGGGAGGGGGGAGAGAGAGAGAATAATGTGAGAAAAACTCTAAAAAATTAAGAATTTTTAATTTTCAAATCTATTTTACTTAGATGTAACTATTGAGGGTGTTTTGGATAATAGAGATCGAAATGGATTTAAACCTAAACAAAGTTTCTAAGTAGACCTTTTGCCAAAGTCTTAAAAAGTGGATCGGCTCTCAAATTTCCTTGTAAATTATAAGTTTTAAGTTGTGATTCATAGATCATACAAATTTAATTTTTTTTTTTTTGCAAATTAATAAATTAGTTAAGTATTAAGTTATAATTGATTAAATTTTAAGTTATGGATTACAATTAAGTTAAAATTTAGAATTTTTAAGATATAATTTTATTATTTTGCTCATATCTTGCCAATTAGTGGCTGATAGCCCAAAAAAAAAATTTCACTCGGCCCCCACCATTGGCAGAGGTAGCTGTGGGTCAGGAAGGGCACTTGCCCACCCTGAAAAGAAAAATTATTAACTATATATATATATATATATATGCTTAAGTACTTAGTTGTGCGGCTGTGCTCACCCAAGAATATAAAATTAAGTCTAACCCATACAAAAAATCAATTGTGCCCACCGGCCCACCCTATATATAAATAATTAAGGCAAGTCGACCCATTTAAACCTTCCTCCCTTCTCTCTCTCTCTCTCTCTCTCTCTCTCAACAACAACCTTTCTTTATTCCTCTCTCTTTTTTACCGTAGACTTCTTCTGCCATGACCCATGGAAGTATGGAACCCCACCATCAAGTAGCCATCTCTCTCTCTTTCCAAATATAGAACCCACGTCCAGCCACGCACTAACACGACACAACACACACACCCACGCTCACAACATAACGCGCGCACACACACATAAACACACTCAAGACACAATTACACTATACAACTCACAGAAGAAATTGATTTGTCTTGCATAATTTTATCTAGAATAATTTTTTTGGCTAGAGTTCATGATATTTTTTGATCAATTTGATAGTTATATTATTGATATGCACTATAGTATTGAGTTTTCAAATTTGCTAAAAATTAGGGATCTTGCTTAAAAAATGGTTGAGAACAAAAAAATGTCGTATATCAATTGGTCTATTTACTTGTCACTTTGGCATTGATTTTGCCAATTACGACTGCCACAGTAGAGATAGCACTTTCAGTTATGAAAATTCTGAAGAATTGATTGCATAATCGAATGGGGCAATCAATGAATGATAGATAACTTGATTGTGTTGGACCAAAAGAGTTTTTAAGTGTTAGAAACTAAATTTTTGGTTGAGTTTGAGCTCAAATTAAAGTAGGACTCGTTCGTTGTTTGAGTAAACTTTCGTGAGTTCGTATTCTATTCCTTGACGAGAATAACATAATATATTCACTTGCTCAAATCGAGTAAGAAACAAATGAGAAAATAGGTTCTAAAGTGACCTTTGTAAAATATGAAAATAGAGATTGTGCAACATGAAATTCGACACCAATCCCACATTGGTTAAAGAAGAAGTTCAACATGGGTATATATAGGCTAAGTTTGCTTTATGAGATTGGGTCCCAAGGGGTATCACAATTTTGTGAGTGGAGTGAGCGACTAAATGTCTTTGGTTCAACCACACACATGCACATGCGCCACTCGCCTGCCTCACCACAACCTGACCTGGCCTGGCCGGGCTCGGGTGCGAGTTAGACCAAACCCTATCTTTTTAGAAAAACATTATTTAACAAATTGGGCGTGAATTTCTTAATCTATAATTTAATTTCGGTATCCGTTGGATTTAAAATTCACATTGGTTCAGGTTAATGTTCCCTCCAGTTCTAAATTTTAATTGCATCTGTTCAAGAGTGAACAGTTACATGTTGGTGTCTTCTGGTTGCATGTGTGTCTTATGGATTGTGTCTTTTCGTATGGTGATTGTTCAGAATAATCACCAATTTGTCTATATAAATCCAGACTCATTGCCATTATGCATCAATTATTTTCGGAGTTAAGGTAGACTTTAGTACATTACATATTGGCATTAAAATAGTCTGCATTTGGAGAGTACATTACATAATTTCTGGTTTGCTAGGCGAGTAGATTGAAGTGTTACTTTTATTCACGTGAAAATCATTGTATCCTAGGAGGTAGACACTTTGATTTCCATAAGGGGCGAAATCTGTGTTAAGGACATAGTGTCAAACATTAACCTTGATCTACTTAAAGTTCAATAACAGTGTCTGTTGTGCAAATTGGTCAATTTTTATATTGTTTAAACACAGATTTATTTTGTTACTATTTTGTTCGTATCTGTTACTGTTTCGTACATACTATTATAACTGTTTCGTTCTTCATTATTACTGTTTTGTTTTAACCTATAAATTTTAAATTAGAAATTTCAATAAGTAATTTTACTATATTTAGAATAGCACAAAAAACAGATTGTATATATAGAGAATGACATTTTTGATTGCATTGATAATGAAGTTATCAAGCAACGCTTTCAAAATATGAAAACCGGTCAAGGACAATTGTAAATGGCTATAGTCAGTCTCATATTTTGTAAAGAGGTTTAATTAGAATCTTGTATTGTAGATTTTTGTGTTTCTATACCCCATGTATATCATCGGCTTTTAGTCATTTTTGTCAATGAAAGTTCAAGTATTATATAAGATTTAAAAAATTTATGCGTCTTTTATTTTAATCCTTAGGAAGCCAAAAATTAAAACTTGTGATTAGTGTCCACCCACGTATAAATTTCTGGCTCCGGCCCCTGGTCACTACAGATGGGGGCAGTGGGCAAAGCAATCTCATAATTTAAAATTTAATTGATTTTTATCAAGTTCAACCATCCATATTTGGGGCGTCATTAGTTTGATCTTTCTGGGAGTGACACCTGGTGAATTTTTAGATGAATGACTAAACTGACAAAAGGGAGGGTTCAAATTCTAGTGAAGAGTTGGAGGAAGACTACGGTACTAGTATCGTACAAAAAAAATATAATTTTTTAAGGTCACGTTGTAATGTTTGGAGGTATAAGTTACAACTAGATAAATTTCAAAATATTATAATGGATCATGGAAGTTACAGTTTTTAAACGAGAAGTTATAACTTATGAAGGGAATCCATAATTGATCGCAACATTTTATGTTCTTGAACCGGTTTACCTGTTGTTTGCGCAAATCTTAGGAGGTGGATGTGATTAACCCAAAAAACTTTTTATTCAATTCCAGTTTGAAAAATTAGCATCGATGCAAACTCACTATTTCAATTTGTTCAGTTCAATCCCCCGTGCACAAAGAATCCGCAACTTTAATTATTATTTAACCGAGACATGGTTACAACATCTCATTCATGTTTTGGAGCTTCGAAGAGTATATAACCATTGTATTGAAGCGAGTTCTAGAGGAAGTTATTGTGGGCTAAGCCAAAAATAAGGAAAGTTCAAGACTTGTGCAGTGATGGAGGAAAACGGCAATGGAGTTGAGGTTCATAGAGGACACTTAGGAGGCAGTGTTGGAATTGGAGGCCACTTAAATGTGCTGGAGGGCAACAACAGAAAGGGGTTTGGATAGTGGGGCCCTGATACAGGAGTAAAAACCTATGGTAGACAAAGTGAACCCCACTGTTTTTTAACGTGGTGGTTATTTTTCTACACGGACATGACATAGTAGTCACTAAATTAAAGGGCAAATTATAAAAAATAACTAAAGGTAAACTATATTTTGTGTGTGAGGGAAAAGACTACAAATTTTGGGCTTGGTATCATCCTTACACAATCAAAAGGAGTCCATCCGAGACTCCTTTCACATCACGTGAGGAACAGGTTGATCAAAGCTTCGTGTCTACAGACAGCCAGACAATGAAGACCATCGGATTGAACCTGAGTTACAACTACTTGAAGGAAAGATATAATTTCTAAAGATGTTGATTCTGGTCATAGAGTTAGAAAGATATAACTTCAACATATACACATGAAGTTTATATGATTAACTAGGAAAAAAAGATTCTAATCGAAAAAAGGGGTAGGACAAAAGGATAAAATTTTTCTAATTTAGACTCTATTCAAATTCTTTCACTGCCTAATCTTGTCCAAAAGACGTGCAATTGTTGGGCCACCCTTGCCAGCACCTTCAACAGCAGTTTCACTTTTACCAGTAGCTCCAATGCTTGGGCTACTACTACTAGAACCACTAGTAGTAGATTCATTTCCGTTAGCACCACTAGTGGTAGATGCACCTTTTCCAGCACCACCAATTGATACACCCCTGGTAGACCATTAATAGTAGATCCACCTCTTCCAGTACCACCAACTGATACATCCCTGTTTTCACCACCAACTTTTGCACTCCTTCCAACTAATGAACTCCTTCCAATTGATACACTCCTGCCAACACTAACTGATCCACCCCTTTCAGCAACCCTAACTGATCCAACAACCTTGGCAACCCCAAGTGTATGCTTGCCAGTAACTCCAGCAACCCCAACACCAACTAATGTACCCTTACCAGCAACTCCAACATCTCGTCCTTTGTTGCACCAATTCTTAATGGAAGTTTATGTGGTCTTTGATGATTATACACATAATTCTTCACCCATGGAGATTGGTGTACTATTGGATTAGGTTGTGTTGCAGCGCTACTGTTTGCATCAAGCAGCACTTTGTGAATCTTGTGCATTGCCTGTGGACTTCTACAATACACTTAAAATGTGCATTGATAGTGAACTTCTAGCACATTTAAAATGTAGAAATTAACACGAGCATTACACTTAAAATGTGTACCTTATACTTTTTTAACATGGGGTGTGGTGCATTGTTGCAAGATCTGATATTATGTCCTTGTTTGAGACACTTGGCACATGTAACTAACAAGTTCTTATTGGATGCTTTACATAGATTTCTTGGCTCATCTGTGTCTCTCCTCCTCATTTTCTTGGGTCTCCCAAGTTGTCTCCTATATAATGGTGGTAGTATTGGATCATAGTTTGTGTGTACCTAATCATGATAACTTGGTACTGGATATATCAAATTTTGATACACATCAATGTAAGCCTCTCTTCTACAATATGGATGAACATAATCCTCAGACCTCATCCTAAACTTCTGAATGGCACTCACATCATATTTACTTGGAATGCCTGATACATCCCATATCCTACAGCCACATGTTCTATCCCAAATTTACATGGAATGCCTGATATTTTGTTTAAACATTATACCTCAAACTTTTCCTCACCTGTCTAGCTAGCAAAGAAATTCCTAGACTCCGCCATTATATGTTCCAACTTTGATTTTATTAATGGACAAATAACTCAGTCATATCTCTTCATCCCTGTCCTCTTCATTTGAATCCTGTCCATCAAATACCTCATGATCCATTCAACTATTCCAACAATAGGTTTGTCTCTGGCCTTCATTATTGCATCATTGAAAGACTATGACATGTTATTGACTAAGACTTCACATCTAGGCCTCATTCTAAAATGTGACCTGGTCTAGTGACAAGGATTGATCCTTGATAGCCATTGATGGGCATTGATTTTGTTCCCTACCTTAGCATCAACCTTCTCTATCTCCTTCATTGTGTGTTCACATTCCCAGTTGAAGTTGCCTTCCAAAACAAATCTTTTAATAATTTTCCATTATACTTTTGTCTAAAATTTTGGTACAGATTCCTTAAATAATGTCTATGTTCTGCTGTAGGCACCGGTGTTTGTAATGTATCAACCAATTCTTTTTATTTATCACTGATGAAGGACCACTCAAACTCTTCACACATGCTTATGTCACTCATTAGCTGCTCCATAAACTAAGACCAAGAATCCTCACATTTAGATTCAACCAATGCAATGGCAATTGGGAACATATTATCATTCTTAACTCTGCCAAGAACACTTGTCAGATGACCTCCATAAACCCCATTCAATAAACAACCATCAAAGACCTATAATAGATCTTCATCCTCCAAGAAATCTTCTTTTCTGTGCATCTAACCTCACATATAATCTTTGAAATGTTGGAGAATCATCCAAAATAGGCTATCAAACTGCATAATCAACACACTGTTAGGATTATAGTTCTTTACATTTTCACAATAGTCCCACAACCTAGCATATTGTTCTATCATATCACATTCAATCACATCAATTGCCCTATAACATTTGCTCAGATCGACGTCTACAAAAATTTCTCTATGAACTGACCTTTGGAATGATTTCAAGTAAATATTAGGTTTGCCCCTTGTTTTTTTCCATGTATTTCCTAGCCAAATACCTTGAACCAACCAAATCATTTTCATAACTATTGCCACATGTGTGCTACCTATTGATTTACTTAATTTGGAAAGTTCTCGTCGTTCTAATAGGAGAAGCATGGATTCTCCAATTACATCCATACCTACAAACGACATTGACCCTTTTGTTTTCATTCTTACCCACTTCAAGTCATTACTGCCTTGCATGACCCTTTCCTTTAAGGCATCCTGAATATCTACGAGTATGAAAATTTCATCCCAACTGTTAACTTAGGATTAACCATGTCTCTATCTTTATCAAACTCTGGATAATCATCATCAATTTCATTTAATAAACCTTCTTACCAAGCGTACCCCATTCATTTTCATTTTCAGAATACCAACCTGTTTCACCAACACTTGGTCCATTACCTGATGTGTTTTCACTTATATCTTTGTTGTTTCTATTTTGTGGATGAGGTGGTTGAGCTGCAGTCCCATTAGGTACATAGCTAGCTTTATCAGCTATTTGTTTTGCCCCATCAGGCACAAGTTTAGCCCCATTAACCACATATCCAGTCTTATCACCCATATGTCCAGCCTTTATCAGCCATAGTTTCAGTTCTAGTTTCAACCATATTTTCTCTAGTGTGAATATTATCATCACCAAATTGCACATTATCAGACCTAGCAAAACCATTGTCAGCCCCAACATTATTGAATACATCTTCATAAGGTGTTTCCAACCCTTCTGTCATCCAATTTGGTTCCTCATCACTAGAAGACTATTCTGCATCAAATTAAATTTCTGTTTATATAACCTATATTGGGACTTGGCCCTTCTCCCCATACACCACAATTGTATCTTTGCCTTGGTAGACCTTAAGCATAATGATTTGCTCTAAATATTACATATTTACCCTATCATTTTTGGGCTAATTGTCACGGGTTTGAACTTAATTGTATGAAATTAATGTTGTATTTGATTTTATCATGATTTAATTGGTGTTTGTCTATTTTGTAGATGAAATGGAAAGATTAGGAGACAACTAGGTAAACATGAGAGTGGACTACACAAAAGAAAAGAGAAAATTGAAGACTTAATTCAAGAGGCCACGTCCGGACGTCATTTATCCATGTTCGGATGTGAGCTGCTGCATTAGAGGAAGAAACAGGCTAAGCTTCCAGAAGGCCATCTCTGGACGTCACTTAATCCACGTCCAGACGCGTGTTGAACTACTTGTCACGTCCGAACATTACTTAATTCACATCCAGACGCATGTCTTTGCTCCTAACCAATCAAAAAAAGTACTTTTTACAGAGTTTTGAGAGCTTTTACTAAATCTGAAATTTTTTTCATTAATTTTCTTCCGTAATTCTGTGATTAGCTCATCCTTTATGGCTAACTAATCTCTTATACTAAGGCTAGGGGAGGTTTCGTTTCATTTGGGTATTAAATTTATCATATATTCTTCATTTGATGATTACTGGAATAATTTAATTCCTCTTATTTTAGCAAAGCGTTCTCTCTATATAATCTTTTAAATTATTATGCTAATTGTAATGGATATTTGAGATTCTTTATGAGTTAAATAGCTAGATGTACATGATTGGGTTGAATTGTTAGAGTTTTCATCTAATTAATTGATTTGTTGGTTTTTATGAATTTGGATGTTTGATTGGTTAATTGCTTGATTTATTATTGATTTCAGACATGTTGAATGCTTGAAATTAATAATTGAATGTTTGAATTTATTTAGATTAACTCGTTGATTATACTCTAAGAGAATTTCCTAATTAATATGGCGAAATCTTTTAATTGGTTTCACTCCCTAGTTGATTTCCAATTGAAATTGAAAATTATGATTAATTTGTTATCCAAGTGTTATTGAAATAGTACCCAATGCTTTAGTATTTTTTTCACATTACATTTTAAACAATTTTAGTTTATTTATTTCAAATTCCAAATTACCAAATCACTCTCTCAAATACATAATATTTTTTTTATTAATTTATTTTCCCACGAAAATTCTCATATTCTTGTAAATCTACCTTGAACTCTACCGAGAATTATTACTTGCTTGACGACTTTCTAAATAGAGCACAATCCATCATCTCCTATTAGAATTAATGATTACAAGCTCATTATATAGGTTGAATCTAGATAACTTGTACTACTTACACATGGACATTGGCAGCTCTGACTCAACATCTTCAAACGTACTTCTTAACTCAGAATAGGATATCTTGTCGGGTCATAGTTGGGAAAAAAATGTAACTAGCCCATTTTTATATGTAATTATGGGCTGCCATACAAAAATAACCCCCGTGATGCAATTTCAAGGTGAAAAAAAAATATCATCCAATACTGCATTTTGAATTAAATAAGAGAAAATTTATAAATTACGTAGAATAACACAAAATTATTAGTCAAACTAACAGGGGACCACAAAACCACATATTATTGCAACATTATTCAAATCAAACATAGTCCACATAAAGAGGGTGGACCAGCAGACAAGTAGAGTCGAATTGTGTTCGTAGGAAAGAGAGATGGTTGGCATCTCCCCCGACAGACAGAGACGGGAACAGCCTTCGGGCTTACCTGTTATACCATACACGTCCGGTTAAGACTACCCACTTCGGTGGATCTCTAAATAGGGTCGGACAAAATGTAATCCCATAAAAGAGGGGCCATCACATGTATGAATTAAAAACAAAAAAATGTGATTATGTACTCAAAATCCCAAAGTAATTGTGTTATGCATAACATGGATCAAATAAATCATCAATCCTCAAAACCAAATATACTGAAGCAACCCATGATACTTCCATTTTTTTTTCTTTTTTGTGGTAAAAATCCATAACTTACCATTGAAAATTCATAATATTTCATGACAGAGATTCGAAGAACCCCCATGATCACACAACCAAAATAAATAAATAAATAAATAAAAAAATCAGAAATGACAATCAATAAACCATCTCAATGTACATATTTTATCTCAGTGCATGGCCTAATCGTCACATGCAATTTCTATTTCTAGTGTTTAGACTGAAATTGTCCTAACGTAAATGTACATCAAAAAATTTCCCGCGATTTGTATCTCTGTCCATTCAATTCTCCCATACACAACTTCAAAAAGGTTATACCAACAAATATTTGTGCAAATTTAAACCTTATAGTTGTTTGATTGACAATTTTTTCCTCTCCATCTCTCTTTCTCTCGTATCTTAGATCTCACTCTCCCAGCCTTGTTGAACATAGATAGAAGAATGTGATGATCTAATCGTTAGGTGAGGAGACCTTGGTTATAAATAAGGGTAATAAGGTCAATTTATCATTCTGTTAATGGAGTTGAGGGTTTTTAGTTAGGTCCAAAATGATAGAGGGTTGGTTATATGTAATTTTAAAACAATAGGTAGGTAATTTGAAAACGGGTCAAACCATAAGGGGATAATTTATAATTTGCACTAAATTAAATGAAGTATACTTACCTATATATTTATTTATTGTTAGTTGGTGATACCACGTGACACTATTTACGATGTATTACTGTTAAATTCAATAATTTCTCTAGGCAGAGGTAGTGATGGCTGTGATTTTTGTTGAAAATACTTCCGCGTTTTGATACCACGCCATCACCATTATTTGGTGTCACCATTCAATAAAAAATATGATTAGTTAGTAAGTGGATCCCACTAAATTTTATAACTATTCCTCTATGTAATATAATAATTATCCATGTAAAATAATGGAATTCACTTTGTTCATTTAATTATTTTCTCTTGGATGGTGACATTACATGACAATAATGATGTGGTTACATTGACTATTTCCTCATCAGTAATACTAGATGAAGTTAAAAACTAAACTTAAAAATTAGATTTGATAATCTCAACCATTGAATAAGTAATAAATCATAATAAATGCTGAGACCTACAATGAAATCACTAATTATAATTATCAAGTCTAATTTTTAAATTTATTTTTTAAATCCACGTGACATTGCTCTTTCCTCGTCAGAGGTGGGGTTTGGCAAGTGCGATCCATTAACGTGAGATTCATTTTTAGCCCCCCCGTTAGGATCTCAGAATGGGTTTGGGTACTGATATGGAATTATCCATGTGTGTTTACGCCTGGCCACTCAAATAGAGGGTAAAAAGGTCTTTTAAATGAAACTTTGTACCTCTCAGCCAATCAACTACTGACGGCAATTTGGGTCTCCATGAGTAATTGTTTTAATATCAAGGACATCAATGTCTTGGCCAAAACTTAGGACATCCAAATCATTTTCACACTAAGTTCTACTTGGGATTGCCCGACTTGAATTGAATCATATTAAAAGTAACCCATGTCTGAAGGCATTGTACAATATAAATAATTTTGAGAAAGATGTAAATGACCATTGAATTAGTCTATTTGAGACCGTCGAATAAACTTATTAAAGCCTATTCTTTTTAATATAATAAATTATAAATGTCATGGTCATGCACTAACAGGGAATCCCCATCTGGCCCATCCCCCTCTGCCTCTTTTGGGAAAAAAAGAGCAAAAAAACAAATATGTAAATGCCATCTAATCCCAGTGCAATCAAAATGACACGTGGACTTGATATAATGTTAGTATGAAACACCTCAAGTTCATCCTTACAGTCACTGCAAAGAAAGTCTCACCCTATAGCCTTGAATCACAATCAAAATACTCACAAAATCAGGACTGACATTTTAGAATCCTGCTATCAGAAGAGTTGATGGCCAAATTAATGGAAAATGAAAAGACTCCCCGAGTATAAGTTGCTATCAGCCCTCAGCCGGCAAGGAAGGTTTGCTATCTGTAATATGATGCCATAATGTAAAGCATGATGGCAGTTGAAGCAGTAACAAGAAGTTCCTGCACACACGTGAACCAGTCATCTTTGGTGGGTAATACAACCACCCTATGATCCTTTAATCTAAGAAGTGCAAAAGATGCATAAAATTTCTATAAAGAAGAGAAATAGAGAAGATGAGAGCATTGTCTATAAGAAAATTGATGATTATTAACTACTATAATCCTTTAATCTAAATATCCACACCTGATGACTAGACATAAGATTTACTTGTCATAAAGAACTGAATTCTTTATGAATAGGACTATAACTAGTTTATATTTGTGATAAATTATATTATTTCATATTTTAAACATAATTATTGCAACATATCCCAACATGTCTAGGTCTTACCTTTTTGAGTAATGCTATGTCCGCATATCTATGTCAATTGTCATGTCATATCTATGTCTCGTGTCCATATCCATGCTTCTTGGGTAGGGAAAACTATATAATCTAAAGTATAGCTTCCCACTTCCAAAAGGAAAACAGAAAAAGGGAAAAAACATGAATGTAGTACCGATGCCAAAATCTCATACCTATCCAATTTTATAGCAACAGCCTCTGACATGTGGCGGGGATTTTATAAATAGGTACCAAAAACTATTCTCCCCCCCCCCCCCTTTCCCTCTTTCTTCTCAACCCAAACAAAAAAACACACATACATGGGTGCTCCTCTTCCCTAGTATCCCATGCACAGCATGAATACACCTTTATTTGGAAATGGAGAAACAAGACCCATCAAGTAGACTTATGTATTTAAATACAAACTTGTGAATGAAACCCCTTTCGGTCTTCAGTATTAGAAATGAAATAACTTCGCGACACTGCATCCTAAGGACTTGCTCTTATTTACATGTGCCTTTGCTCAGAAGTGTACATATGAAAGTGAATACCATGTTCAATTTCATTAAAAAGTGTATTTTAATCAACCATTACTGGTGTAATAGTACGGAACTATAGAGAGAAGAATTTTCAAACCAGATACAACCATGCATTATACATATTATAAAACAACTACTATATCTACCTTAAAAAAAAGCCAACAGCATATGAGAACTAGTTAATGTCAGTACCTGGTTATTGTACAAGAAAGAAGGTATATAGCCACCCGCCAATTCAATCAAATTTAGGAGACCAGTATATCCCTGCAGGAGAAATGAAGAAAAAATCTACTAGGGGATATAAAAAGAAAGAAAGAAAGATGCTGGATATGAAACTCAAGCCAATGAAAATTCAACTTGGGAATGGGAGATATTGAAAACTGTACAAAGAAAATAACAATCCATCCCGCTAGGCATGCAATTACACGGTTCCATCTTATACGGTCTAAAAGAACAACAACTACCATTAGTGCATAAACCAGAAAACACAAGAACCCTATTGCAATTAGGCTCTTCAAATCTGTAACTGTTCCATTGAGATGGCAGCAAAAAGTTCTAGTTCATAAAGCATTTGTTTTTTAAGTAATTGTCAATGTTCAGTAAATGATAGGACCTCAAAGAAATAGGAGAATATGAAGAGAAAGCGGACATATAGACAAGATTGACGTGGCTTAAAGTTTTAGCAAATTTGTACACTGAAAAATGAGAGGAATGGACATGAAAAACATATTATTTTTGCCAGGCATAATGGAATTTGGACAATTTAGAGGCCTGTTAACAGAGTGCCCATGAGTAGACAGCAGAAAATTCAGTGTGATTCACAAATAAATTATTGGGTAATCACAGCCACAACCCCTACGGATAAGGACAGGTCTTGCGTTTTTAAAATGACACTGGCACCCCTGTTAGGTTTTTCTAGGAGCAGATGTAAGGGGAAGTGGGTTTTTAGCTAATTATCCTTCATTCACCTGTCTGCCTCTCCTTTAGCTTCATTTCTTGCAAATACAAGTTTCATGACTGCTGACCCACGCCAACTCCATTACAGCAATTTAAAACATAAGTAGTTTTGAGGTGTAAAGTGGACATGCCAACAGAATTTCTCCTTGAATCATATGACACTCAAAAGGTTTTATGTCATCTAACTATAAATCACCAATCGGAAAGAAAATCTCACTATAAATGACAAATGACCAAAGTTTTATATGGTTTTGACAAAAGCGCCGGATTTCATTGGGAACAAAACATTAACTTCTTAACAAAAGGATAATTTTGTACAAGAGGTGAATGTCCAAGAAAACAGAACACTCGAAAGCAACAGCATTCTTCCACATTTAAAATCATGAACACTGTGATAGAGTCAACTTAATATTACCAGTAGTAGGTATAAATGAATCAGGGAGAAGAAGGTGGAGGGGAAGGGGAGGAAAAAACTTGATCATATCAGCCATGCTTGGTTTCTGAGCAACTGAAATAAGCTAGAGAAAAACTTGTGCTTAGAGAAGTCAAGTGTCAACTAGGCTTCATTTGGGCATTCACATACACCAGCCCAGACTTCCCTGGTTTCAAGAGCTCTAAGCTACATTAAGCTTGGCTCCAACCTACGGACCCAAAACCATTTAATCTATTTTTGGCCACCTAATCAACAGCTCAAACTTCTACCATTATTGAGTAGAAAAATGTTGAAGTCATTGACTTCAGATGGACTTACAAAGTAATAAAAGGGCGATATAAGAGTACAAAAGTAAAGGAAACAATATATGATTTCCTTGATAATCAGGGAGATCTTTTCTTTTGATAACTAGGAAAATAGTAGTCACCCTACCCCATTGAAAACATTAATGCTAATAGTGGGCCCAGCAAGGCAGGGCCTACCTAATACTGGGTAAAGCAGACTCAAAATGTGCGAGTTCCAGGAACATAATCCATCCAACTACTCAGTAATCAGCCTATCAGTAAATATCGTGTAAGAGTCCAAATTGCCACCCACAACAATGGAAAGAAGAATAAACAAAAGAAAGGGCCGGGAGATGATGTTGAACTGTTATAATAATAAGAAATGAGATGCAAGACAAATCACACATTTTTACGTAGTGGTCTAGTATGCCAACAGAACAAACTACATTGAGGTTTATGCCATGTCAATCATCAAACAAAAGAATAGTTGGTATTTTTTTTTTGGGAAGTTACATCATAAACAAAGGATGAATCACATACCAAGGATGCAACAGCTATACAACCAAAAACCAGTGAAAGGGCACGAAGCAGTCGTTTTCCCATTCGCAACATTCGCCCTTCATCCTCACCATCTTCCTGCAGCCAAGATCAGATAAAATATTTCACAGACCAAAAACGAAAAATAAGTAGGCTCCAAAATACATAAATACAAGCTTCTCAGTATAAAATGCCATGCAACATTGAAAGGCTGTCTAAACCCCTAAATTACCGTAAATGTGGGAGATACAGGTGGTTCGAATGCTTTTAACTTCTCGAAAATCCGATATACAAATACAAAAGCTAAAAACTGCAAAGGTTTCCATTCCGCACTACGCTTGATAAGAATCCAAGTTGTCTGCAGAAAGACCAGAGATTGGGGATCAATATATTGAAAAGCAAGAAGCCACACAGTACATACATACCGGACCTCCCCCAAAAAAAAAACAGTATGCCAATAATAAAAAACAGAACCATAACACCTGATTCACTTATTTCATAGCAATTATACTACCACAGTTAAATTATGTCTCACTCCAACATCATCAATGTAAACATAACGAAAACTAGACAAAACCTACACTGTCCCCAACAACTTGGAAATATCTGAAACATTTTGTTTTCTTTTTCTTGTTATTGCAAAAGAACAAAGAGGGTTAAAATATATATCACATAAGTAATAAAGCCTTTAATGATATTTCACACAATAGACTAAATATACAACAGGAATTTTTCTAATGATATATATCTGGGGGCTCCAGATGATTTTACAAAAGTCATACAACAAATAATGTCATTATCAGCAGCAGGAGCCTCTCAGATTCTACTATATTTTAAGATCAGATTAGAAATAAGACTATATTCATAGCTATTTCACTACTGCAGGCATTTATCGGTGCTACAAAAATGGTCTTCAAGCTTAAGACCATGTTCATGGACCACTCAATGATAACACTTTTTTTTTCTTTATAACCCTTGGCCATTAGGGATCTTTCATCAGATAAAAACAAATTCTAGATTTCATAGTGGGCCTTGTTTAACAACTTTACCGTCTGATTTCATACCATTTTTCTTGTCCTAGAGAAAAAATGAAGGCATGAAAAACAAATGGCAAAAACAACTCTGTAACTCTCAGAACCCTCATTATAAACTCTTCAAATCAAAAAATGCTTTCATGGATATACAAATTTGATAATTCCATGAAAATGCAGCCATATCTGAAGACCATGGAACAATTTAAGCGTCATAAAGAATAGTTGTTAAAATCCGCATGGACTTAAGTGAAGTTCAACCATGTTGAAATACACTTCATTTAAGACTTGTCTTACATTCTCCAGCCCTTATGACAATTTCCTTACTTCTCTTGTATCTACGCAAACTTATTGTGCATGTATTTGTGGTATTGCTCCAAATAATCCCAAAACCATTCCCTAGATAGAGCATTAACACCTCACCAGCCTCTAGATCCTGCCTCTCCTAATACTTTGTTGTTAGATGTTAGAGAATAGAAAGAAGGTATTAGTCAGTGCAACAAGCCAAAGGTATTGGGACCCTTCTTCAATTAGGAATAGGACAGCGAGCTTGGAAAGGGAAAAGGGCCCACACTAAGCTGACACTAATGAAGTCACACGAACGAAACAACCCATTGTAGCAGGGGCAGAGCCAGGATTTCATTTTTGAGCGGGCAAAAAAAAAAATCAAAAATTCACAAAGAAATGTAAAAAATTTCGAATTACAAACATGAGAAATATATTAAGAATTAAAACTAAATTACTACATAAAAAACAGTATCAAACATAAATCAAAGCAGAATACAACGTTCTTTTAAATTCCCAAAGTCGTCTATAATTGAGAGCAATTCCCTTTCAAGGTATATGATCAAAATATCCGTGATAAAATCATCTTTCATTTTGTTGCAAAGTTTATTTGAAATCATCATCCATCATGTTAAGAAATTTGATTCTTTGAAAAAACATAATGCACTTTAGGGTTAAGACATTTTAGCATTTCACATATGTTTCCTGCAGTCCAAAGTAGAACATTGGTTTTACTGGATTATAAAGGTAAGTTGACAACTGATTTACTAAAAAGAATACACTAGGACCACCATAAAAATTTTCAAAAAATAAGGGGGTCAATGTATGAACTTGAATAGAAGAATGACCATTTAATGCTTTATATATTTACAAGGATTGTGCAACATCAGTTGGGGCAAGTGCTCCCCTCCCTTCTGTGTAGCTCCGAGCCTGCATTGTAGTATTTTTGGCTGTATTTACAGAAATACAGTAATTTAAAAAAAATACTTTCATCTAAACTGGGGTCAACCTAGTCCTTTGAGCCATTCAGACCCTTCAATTAAAGAAGGGAGACACACTATAGAAAAGAAAGAAAGAAAGAAAGAAAGAAAGAGCATCCAGAACAGCTGAATATTACCCTGCAACAAATCAATACAATTAAGTGTCCAAATTCAGCCTCTCAATGTTCCAAGTTATCTGACTCGCTTTACTGACATAACATATGCTTATAAGCAACAAGAATTGAAGTTTCAGAACCGGATGCCAAAGCACAGGAGAAACACTGTGCTAGGCAAAAAATGAAGTAACCAAGGTTGCAAGCTCGCATTTCTGCTACCACATAAATTCCATAGTCTAACAAGGCAAGTATCATTTATCTAAGATAGAGGTTCTGATTTTGAGTCCTCACCCTAGGGATTTTTCTTGGTAATTTCTTGGTGCAGTGAAACAGGGGGACAACATATAATTGAGAAGATTAGTTGGTTGCAGTGAAAAGCACCATCTTCACGTAGATCAATTCATCAGTTACCACGCTTTTGAATCTCTTCTGAACAACCATATTCATGAAAAAACTAACGGAAGGAGCATGGTACACCTTTAATGGACATCTGTCAACACAATCCATAAATCCCGCTCCTATGGGACAGTGGCAGCTAGCGTGGTGGGATTCATCCCTTGAATCCCACACTACTCAGGGATGAGTGTGAGATGGGCTATTTAAGCTATAAGTCATATGCTTGTTGCATTCCATGAAAGTTCTGTTTTGGGGAAAAAGGACGAGACATGACAGAATTATTACAATAACCTACTTCCTGCAAATGCTTGGTCCAGATTCTAAATATCACTCTTCGGGTTTATTGGCAGGTCGAGGTCCTATGAGATACCCAGTACTTAGAGTATTCAAACATGATGAGGATCCATCCATAGAATTGCGCTCAACTTAATTGCAACTTGCAAGATTCAACCACAAGGCAAAGCTCCTACTTTAAAGCCACAAAGTTGAGCTTTCCACTCAAAATTCAACAAGAGTGGAATACTCATCTGACTTCATGATACTAATGAAATTGCAAATTTGAAATAAACTTGCATTAGGTTTGAGTTTCAAGAGTTAACACATGCTCCCTCTATTACATATTTTGCAACAAACAAACAGAAATAAAGGGTATCACAAATTGGTATTTATGTCCAAGCATTTAAAAAAATAGCAATATGCCAATATTATTGCCAACTCATCTGAAGTTCCATAATTTTTAAAAGCATCCTCACTATCCTAATAGAAAGTTCAATTATTTATGCTATTGTCGATGTGGATGACATGTAAAATATGTTATAATATATAATGTTCTGCAACAAAGTTCCGATCTTTCTATTACGAATGTGTGTAAGTGTTGTGTTACAAACTCCTTGTAACCACACTTCAAAACTAGTGGGTGCATGGATTTGAATAATGCTTCCTACATGCCTGATCCAAATTTTTAGCACCTACCTCTCCTGGACAGGGCCCTCAAACCAAAATATAAACAATTAAATGAAGAAATGAAGAAACAAAACTTTAATCATGTATACCATGGTGAGCATGCCTCTATTTCCAGAGAAAAGAAAACTGGTGTTTTGGTGATGGACATTTCCGCGTTCCCATAGATGCATAACAAATGTTTGTAACCAACAAACCACATTTTCCAAAAGTTAAAAAAACGAAATACAAAGAAAAAAAAAAGAAAAGAAAATGCCACCATCATTTCAGTACTTACAAATACAGCTGATATCACCAAGTTGATTCGCATATCATTAAAATCGGACTTGGTGAACCTGAGAGCATAAGCATACGCCAGCTTAGCAAACTACACATAGTTTTGCAAAAGCAACCATCATAACACATTGCATGAGGACAATAAATGACTAGTTTCATGTTCCTGGAAAAAAATTAAACTGCAACGTTTACAGAGCGGTAGAAACAGAAACATAAAGCAACAAGATAGCAAGAGAAAATGTATACTTTTACACAAGTAAAAGATTGTTCTTAGGATTTCATCCATGTCAAATAAAGTGATTTATGTTTCAACTTGACCAAAACAAAAAAATAAGGTGATTTCTCATTGAGAACTGTAACACTAGTCATTGCTTTAATTTCTTTTTGTTCAAACATTTAGAAGTTACTCAACTCTACTCAACAAAGCCTTGTCCCAACATTTTTGGGATCGGCTACATGAATCCTCTCTCGTGATTATCCTCTATCAATGGCCAATTTAGAAATAACTAACTGCCTGATTTCATCTATAAGTACTAAGTAGTGCCATAACATATGTTCATAGAACATATTATTATGCAACATAAGCTATAAGTATGGATGCAACAGAGAGAAAGAAATCAACAACAAAAGATATCAAGTAAATAAGGGCATTTTTATGGCTACTTTCACATAAACACATATTATCACTACTTTATCTCACTTATTAAGGCTATCAGTGTAACTTATTAAATTTCTGGAATGGTTCAAGCTTGAGACATATTTTACCGAACACATGATGATCATATACATTTAGATGTGGCGCAAGCAACACACTGCACAACAAACACAGGAGATCTACACGAAAGAGTAAAAATGCTCATAAAGGAGAAAGACAAGATCAGCTGCTACCAGAGAACAAAAAGTTAAGAATATTCCATTATAAAAAGAGGACTTGTGGCTGTCATTATTCCTTTCACTTCAAATGCATCATTTCAAACGGAAAGGGGCTTCTACACTGCCTGCCACCAAGAATTTATTTCTGTAGCAACATCCTGGCTGTGTTCAGCATCACCTAAGATTCAGCCAACACTGACCATAGGAGACTCCATAACTTTCTGGCCACCCTGGACGAAAGAAGACGTCAACTAGTGCTTAATCCCTCCATTTCACACATTGTAGCGCCAATCAACTAAGATGTTGCCCCTCCCTCTCAAATTATCCCCATTAAAATAGCCTCCCAAGCCATTGTCCAAACGAAGAAGGCCAATTTCTGTAGCCCCAACTAATGAATTGACAGAGTAACAGCCATTCTTTGTCATGTGCCACCTCAACCTATTTTACGTGCCTCACGCAGAAAATTTTATCTCAGAGATACCTTAGCAAAGTTGTACAAAGTCCACTCTTCAATTTTGAAGGCTAGTAAATTCAGGAGCCCAAAGTGTTCTTTTTCGGAGAAAGTAATCATCTCCGCCACAAATGCTCGACTGTAATTTTGAATAGGTTGGGAAACTCCTCTTAAAGTTCAGATCACCACATTAAATGTTGAGCCCAAAATCTGATACAAACATACACTTTATACACACACAAACACACACACTTATTTATATAGCTCTGTGTACTCCTATTTAAAGAATTCTACCAGCCTATTCAAAACACCATATCCACAGCATTGATCCATTGAAAATTCAAAGATAAAAGAACCATCATATGCCCCCTCCCCAAATCACGCACATATCTGCTCTCCACAACCCTTTATCTTACATACTGTTCCAATATGAATATGAGTGTTTACATATGCACCGTGACAATTAGTTAGAAGGTAGAACATGAATTACATCACTCGGCGACACATTCAAAGATTCCAACACAATTCATTCATTTGTCAAGTATAACATCTACGCTCACCAAAAAAAACCAAAACTACAAAACTTGAACAAGGACTTCAGACCATAATTTACATGATCTACCCTCGTATATCGTAGTAATTTTTTCAACTACTGGTCCGAATATTATATATTTTCCCATAGAATTCTACTTTTTGGTTTTGGGCACATCTCAATGTTGAGGTGTCTCAAAAAAGTCCAAGAATACTGAGGAAACATAACACAAATGTTCATAGTTTCAAAGGACAGATTCTTTCTCATTTTTTATTGAATATATTTAGAATGACAGGAGAACTTTGGTATCTAACAATTATCTGAGACGGATACAATGCATAATTCAATGTACATGGGCTACCTAGCTAAGACACAGGCCATAGACTGACAGGCAATTACATTATATGAGCCAGACAATACAGCATAAGCAAAATAGGACTACATTCTAATTCTACTCGCAAGCAATTCGGATTCCACATACATACCTCGGCCCCCATGGTAGAATGGGCTGCTTATCAGCATATCTGATATCCTTTGAAACCTAAAATTGAAGAGAAATAAACAAAATTACATGTAAATCTTAATTTATAACCTACTAGGTTTCAGGATTTGATAAAACATCCTTAAAAGGCATCAGATGAATTTCATAACTTGCTCCAAGGATAGAGTGATAAACAGGTGATATCTCAAGTCAACTGCTGAGAAAATGTCTGCTGTATCGTCGCGTTATAAACTTATAATTTCAAACCTATAGAGAAGATGAAAGATTAATGATGACAGTAACCCAAAGCTTTTTGTGAAGGCCCAAAAGGGTACTAGAATATTGGCGGAAACAAATTATACAGTCATTCTAGTTCTTTGGTCAACAAATCCCACCATTGCCCCATGCCCCACTCTCTCAAGCCACCAAGAATGACGAAATACCCCAACAATTTGAACTATCGTGGATAGCCTTCTCTGACTGAACAGTCCATTCCAAACAGTCGGACTGTTAGATGGACCCATAACCTTGACTTCCTTGCACAAAGTGAATTATCGAGATGCGCAATTTGAGAAGCTCCCTTGCCTAGGGTCTCAAACAGGCTCTTTTGTACTCCCCATCCAATGAAAGCATTTAAGTGATACCTGTGATTCATATATTTACCTATTTTAAAAAAATATTTATTTCCCTCAAAAACATAACTTATTTACATACCCTACACAGTATAGACACACAACAGAACATGGATTTTTATGGAGATTGTGTAAGATAGTGGCTCTTTTGACTAAGTAAGTTGTGCTCCATTTGGATGTTGGATTTTCTTTCTCTTTCTTTTTCCTATTTTTCTTGCAGTTATTCATTCTCAATGGGGATGGGGGTTCAAAATGAGATTAAGCTAGCACGATTCTTATGGGATCATATATTTCTAGGCAATGGGACTTTTCCTAAAGCTACTAGGACTAAGACTCCAAATATAGCAAAGTTTTAAACCTTCGACTGCCTAGATCATTCTAGATGGGAAGGACTCCATATAATGCCAGACAGCATAATTTGATCAAAAATAAGATCCTTGGACCATAACATACCATAAAACATAATCTGATCGGAAACAAATTAAATCATACCAACAGCTTATGAGCTTAATGTTGGTACATACACAACTCAATTCAGCCAAAATGTAGACCCCAGTATGTTCCCGAGACACAGAGATTGTAGAAACAATGAGTTAATTATCTCCATTATCAGAATTTAGCAGAGCAATGGTGATGAGTAGCTTAACTTGACTCAGGTGCTACTTTTAATTAGGGCTTGTCTCACATTAACTTTTCTCCATTAATATACAGAGTTTCTAAATTAACTTCAGTTAATTTAATGTAGTCGTTAACATCATTGACCAGAAAAGTGATGTAGGTGGATGCATAGGCCTAAGAAAATGGTCCAATAAAGCCAATAACTACCTAAGGAAATTCCTGCATTACTTCACATTTATAATAGTGTGAGACACAAGGTTTATCATCAAGTCTAGCCCCGAAGTTGAAGCTACGGTAGAATCTGGGGCTAGAGGTGTTCATCTCCTGTCTTGACTACCCAAGCTACACAATCTTTTTCTTATGGTCTCAGCTCTTCTCACACATATGTGATTTATTTGTAACTTTCTCAAGTGAAAGTTTAATTCCATGTCAAACCTCATGAATTTGGGGTCGGTACACCAAATGATGTAAAAAGCTCCCCCTCTATTATTTTCGTTTATCCCCTTATGATACTCTGTTCTGCCCTATTGATTTCGTCCTCCCATTATAAAATATAGTTCCCTAATTGTTGCAATAAAAGCATATTATAATGCAAACCAAAATTGGCATAATTCTTTATGCACATGTGTATCAAGTCACTTACATAAACATAGTTCTTCTCTACCCAACTTCTCCATTAGTTTGCCTAAAATTTATAATTTCACCAAAAAAATTCAATATTATCCTTGTGTATCTTACGTTGGGTAGGAGGGAGGTTGGAAGGGAAGTGGAAGAACACTATTTACAAAAGAACCTGAGAAGTAAACTGTGTGAAAAAAATTAAATTAGCTTGTACTACATGAACTTTGCGTAAGAGACTTAAAAAGAAAGATTAATAGTATACAATCAACAAACAACTTTGCAGGATAAAGACAAAGGAGCCTCGTGGCCTTCTTCTAGGAAAGATATAAACCATCAGTATTAATGTTTTATTACACTGCCTTTTATGAGATGACTCATAGACCTGCCATTTTTTTTCTCGAAACTCGCCAAATGTGATCAACAAACATTGGGCCTTGAGGTATGAGTATGACTTTCCTTTAGCTTTGGTTCAAAAGATGTGTAATAAATAAATTGCGTCCTTATGTATATTTCTTCAACGCTCATGGCCAATTAGTAAGTAGTGTGATTCATTAGTCAGCAATTTCATTTTAAAGCCCTAGAATCTTGCAATTTATGTTCCAAAAATAATGTCATGTGTGGCCTATTTTATCCTATAGATGAAAAGTGTATGTATCTTCCTTTTTTAGGATTCTTTCTATCAATTTTATGTCATCTCCATTTCTATAGGGGCAGTGGTGGAGCCATGTTATGGGCCAAGGGGGCTATGACCCCCCTCAACTTTTGGAAATTATATATTATACCCCTATAATTATATTTTATATGCCACTTAAAATTTTTAAAATTATATTTTATATCTTAAATTATAATACTTTTATTTTATGCTCTCGATTTTTTATTTGGCCATATTGCACCATTAATTATTAAAATTGATATTTTGCATAAATTGTTAAAGTGAAATTAGTGTCATATATATTTATACTACTTATAAATGTCAGCATCTGCAAAAAAAATTTTGATTTTCTATTTCACCCCTAATTATTACACTAAGACAATTATGCTCACAAAATATTAGTTAGATAAATTTTATCTCTATGACTTCAAAATTTTTTGCTGGATAAATTATATCACTAATATTCCAAAATTTTTGCTAGATAAAATTTATCTCTATGACTTCCAAAATTTTTATTAGATAAACTTTATCACTATGACTTGTCAATACATTCTTATTTTTCATTCAATTCGACAAATTCAACTAGAATTCTAATACGATGTTAAAAAAAATTGCTATTTTTTAGGTGATAAATAAACACAACTATCAAAAATTCATTATTCATTGTTATATAATAAAATATTAGAAGAGTAAAGAGTTAAACCCATATATGTTTCTTTCTTTCATACTGTTAAAAGTATTAGGGTAATCTGTGTAAATTGTTAATAGTAATAGGGTAGTATGGGTAATTCTTATTATTATTGTAAGTTAACTATAAATACAATGATATATGAGAACTAGGTCAAGCTTTTGACCTCTCTATTCCTCTTTAATATATTGTGTTTTACACTTATCAGAGCATTACGATTCTAAATACAAATATTAGCTTGTGTTTGTTTTGTGGAAATTACCTTGGCTGGGTGACGTTACTGTTGAGGTGTTGCTGTTGGAGTTCCAGCGTTGTGGTGGTGGCGCTGTGGCTCTGCTGTCGCTGTGGTGATGGTGGCATCACTGTGGTGCAGTTGTCGTTGTTGTGGTGGTGGCGTGGTGTTCCAACGTAGTGGTGAGGTGTTCTCGGTCCTCTGTGGTCTGCGGCTGTGGTGGTCATCGACTGTGGTGGTCATCGACTTTGGCTTCGCAGTGGTTTGGGTGGAGGTGTTGTGGTTGCTTGTGGTGGTGTGCCTGGTGTCGTTGTGCTGTGTAACCTTGTGGTGGTGTGCCATTGAATCGACTGCGCTGCACAGTCAAAGATTAAGGTTCTCTTGAAACCCTAATCTAACGAAGAAGACGAAGTCCAATCAGGCCGGTTTCGGGTCGATTTCAGTCTAAGACCCGGTCCAACCCAAGATCCAAACCAAAATCGGTCCAACCCAAGACCCAGACCAGACTGGTTCAAGGCTGGTTCAGTTTTGGTTTGGTCCGTTTCCAGCCGGTTCAGTCCTAGTTTGGTCCATTTCAGGCCGGTTCAGTCCCGGTTTGGTTCATTCCAGTCCGGTTCAGTTAGTTTGGCACCGGTTCAGACCGGTTCTATCAACTTTTTTGACCGGTTCAGCCTTCCAATAGGCTTTTGGGGCCCGGTTCAGCCTTCCAGCAGGCTTTTGGGGTCCAGTTCAGCTTTCTAGGTGGTCCGGTTCAGCCCTCCAACAGGCTTAGCAAGTCTAGTTCTGTCCGGTTCTTTGTTCTGGCATTATAGCACCCCCTGTTTGCTATTTGCTGCACTGCTATGGAACCCAAGCAGAATACCAGGTCCCTTACTCCAGCTTTACCACCCACCTCTATCCCTCCAACTATTATCAATGGTCCCATGACCTCCGTTAAACTTAATGGGACCAATTATACTTTATGGTCTCGGTCTGCTCAAGTCTTTCTTCGTGGCAAAGAATTCAAGAAATATTTGGTGAATCCTAAACCCGAGGAAACTACTCCTGGATATGATCAGTGGAAACAAGAGGATGCTCAGATCTTTTCCTTACTGTTGAATAGCATTGAGCCTAGTATTAGTTCTACTTTGCTCTACCTTGACACTGCTAAGGAGATATGGGATCACTTGGCCACCATATATTCTGGTACAGATAATTTTACCCATGCATATGAGGTGTGCAAGGAGTACTTCCGATTGGAGCAAGGTACTTTGAATCTTACGGATTATTATTCTCATGTTCGGGAAGTTTGTGACGAGATGAAGACCTATTATCCATTTACTACTGATGCAGCTGTTTGGCAGAAGCAACATGAGGACCTGAATGTTGTTAGATTTTTTGTAGGATTGAAACCTGAATATGAGGCTATTAGTTCTCAGATTTTGGGTGGTTCTAGTCTTCCATCACTACTTGAGGTTTTCTCTCGTTTACAGCGTGCTACACTGTCTACTCTTTTAGGTATTGATCATGGTGTCTCCACTGATCGCTCAGCTCTTGTGGTTCCTAGCCATAGTGATAGTCATCGAGGTGGACATGGTAGTGGTTGTGGTGGTCGAGGAGGTCGTACGGGAGGTTGTACGAGTGGTCGTGGGGGTCGTAATGGATCCCGTTCCTGTATTCACTGTGGTCGTGGAGGACACACTGTTGACTTTTGTTAGAATTTACATGGTAAATCTTCTAGTGCTGCTAACAGGCTTCTTATCAGGATGATACCTCTGTTGTTACTTCCATACCTCGGTCAGTTCCACCAGACACTGGATCGGTTACTATTACACTAGGTCGAGAGGAGTATACCCAGTTCCTGTCCCAGCAACAGGCTATTCCATCTCCCTCCACTACTACTTTTGCCAAGTCAGGTACTACTTTCACTTGTTTATTGTCCTCCACCCGCAATCCTTGGATCATAGACTCTGGCGCTTCTGACCACATGACTGGTGCATTTTTTCTACTTATCAGTCTGTTACTTCTGCACGTACTGTTACTCTTGCTAATGGTACTTGTTCTAAAGTTTCAGGTCTGGGGACTACTCTCTTGAGTCCTGATATGTCCCCATCATCCGTGTTATTTATTTCTCAGTTTTCCTTTAGTTTACTTTCTATTAGTAAGATTACCCGTTCTCTCAACTGTTCTATAACATTTTATCCCTCTTATTGTGTCTTTCAGGATCTCAATATGAAGAGGAAGATTGGTAAGGAACATGAAGCCGGTGGCCTATATTACTTTGATTTTGATTCTCTTACTCGGGCTCAACAGACCTCGTTGTCTCATTTTCAATGGCATTGTCGTCTTGGACATCCCTTTCCAGAATCTGAAGCGCCAAGTTCCCAGTCTTAGTTGTGTGTCGTCTTTGTCTTGTGAAGCTTGTCAACTTAGTAAGCATCACCGTGTGTCATTTCAATCTAGAGTCAATAATCGTGTGTCTAATCCATTTGAGTTAGTACATTCTAATGTATGGGGTCTAATAAAAAATATTTCATCTAATAAATATCCTTATTTTGTGTCTTTTGTGGATGATTATTCTCGTGTGACTTGGTTGTTTTTAATGAAAGCTCAATCTGAATTATTCTTTATATTTGAGACCTTTCGTAAGGAATAAAAACTCAGTATAGTTGTCGTATACGTATTTTACGTTCTGATAATGTTCGAGAATATGAATCTGATCATTTTTCAACTTATCTTAGTAAAACTAACATTATTCATCAGACTTCCTGTGTTTACATATCTCCATAGAACGGTGTTGCTGAACGCAAGAACCGTCATTTGTTGGAAGTCACCCGTGCCTTGTTATTCCAGATGAATATTCCCCGTATTTTTGGAGTGATGTTGTTCTTACTGCTTGTCACCTAATTAATCGTATGCTTTCCTCTGTGTTAAATGGGCAAAGTCCATATTCTGTCTTTTTTTCTAATAAACCCTTATTTTTCCTACCTCCTAAGGTTTTTGGATGTGTCTGTTATGTTCACAATTTGAGTCCTGGGTTCGATAAACTTAATCCTCGAGCTACCAAATGTGTATTTCTTAGTTATTCCCCGCACACAGAAGGGGTATTGTTGCAACAGTCCTTCTCTGCGACGATACTTCACAAGTGCCGATGTCACATTTGAAGAATCTGTTCCATATTTTCCAGCACCTTCTCAGCCTTTGGATCTGGACTTTGGGTCACCTCTTATACCACCATCTCTTCCCTCATCTTCAGATATTCCGCTGCCCACTGTATTACTGTCTACTTTACCTCTTCGTGTATACTCTCGTCGTCCTCGACCATCGACTGAGGTGTTCGTACCGTCTTCCTCGCCGCCTTCTGATCTTGGCTCATCAGGTAATTTTGACTCTTTACCTATTGCTTTTCGAAAGAGTACTCGTTCGTGTGTTACTAATCATCCTATTGCTCATTTTGTTTCATATAATGTCTTATCTCCTGTCTTCTCTTGTTTTATCTTTCAATTATCTACTATATCTATCCCTAAGCATTTACAGGCTGCTTTATCTGATCTGGGTTGAAGGAAAGCTATGGAGGATGAGATGGATGTCTTACATCATAATAAGACTTGGGATCTCGCTCATTTACCCCTTGGTAAACGAACTGTTTGTTGCCGTTGGGTGTACCCTGTTAAATTTCACTCGGATGGTTCTGTAGAGCGTCTCAAAGCCCGACTTGTTGCAAAGGACTTTACTCAGACCTATGGTGTTGATTATGAAGAAATTTTCTCCCTTGTTGCAAAAATTTCCTCTGTTTGTATCTTGATTTCTTTGGCTGCTAATCTTGATTGGCCCTTGTTTCAGTTAGATGTCAAGAATGCCTTTCTACATGGTAACTTGGTTGAGGAGGTATATATGGAGCAGCCACCTGGGTTTACTGCTTAGAGGGAGTATGGTAAAAGTGTATGTCGATTAAAGAAATCTTTGTATGGTTTGAAGTAGTCACAGAGGACATGGTTTAGTAAGTTTTCAGATGCAGTTTTAGAGTTTGGTCTGCTTCGATGCCAGACAGACCATTCTGTGTTTCACAGATAGACGTATGCTGGATATGTCCTATTGGTGATCTATGTAGATGATATTGTGATTACTGGAAATGATTCTGAGGGGATTGTCAAGTTAAAAATCTTCTTACAAGATCGATTTCATACTAAGGATTTAGGAAAACTCAGATATTTCTTGGAAATTGAAGTGGCTCGATCAAAACAGGGTATTTGTTTATCACAGAGAAAATATGTACTTGACATGCTAGAAGAAGCAGGTTTGCTGGGTGGCAGACCGACTGATGTTCCTATGGATCCGAATCAGAAACTATTGATGGATGATGGTGCATTATTTGAGAATCCGGGTCGATATCGCAGATTGGTTGAAAAACTCAATTACCTAACTATTACTCGACCGGATATCTCTTATGCAGTCAGTATAGTAAGTCAGTTTATGGGGTGTCCTAGAGTACCACATTGGGAGGTCGTTACTCGTATTCTGAAATATCTCAAACGAGCTCCTAGACTTGGACTAATATATCGAGCTAATGGACATCTTAGAATGAAAGGTTTCTCAGATGATGATTAGGCTGTCTCTCCTTCTGATCGGAGATCAACCACTGATTATTGTACCTTCTTAGGAGATAATGTTGTCTCATGGAAAAGTAAGAAACAATCTGTGGTAGCAAGATCCAGTGCTGACGCTGAGTATAGGGCAATGACGCATACGATGAGTGAGTTGACTTGGCTGCTACACTTCCTTCAGGAAATTGGGTTTTCAATTCAACCTCCTTTACAGTTGTTCTGTGACAACCAGGTAGCTATTCATATCGCTGTCAATCTAGTGTTTCACGAGAGAACTAAACATATTGAGGTTGATTGCCACTTTAATCGGGACAAAATAGTAGCTGGGGAGATTACAACTCTATTTGTGAAATCTGAAAATCAGCTTGCAAATATGTTTACTAAAACATTGAATCGTACACGTCTTACGGCGATTTATTTCAAACTTGGATTATATGATATATATAGTCCAGCTTGAGAGGGAGTGTTAAAAGTATTAGGGTAGTCTGTGTAAATTATTAATAGTGGTAGGGTAGTATGTGTAATTCTTATTATTATTGTAAGTTAATTATAAATACAATAAAATATGAGAACTAGGTCAAGCTTTTGACCTCTTTGTTCCTCTTCAATATACTGTGTTAATCATTTACACTTAAACATATACCTATTAGACTTCTAAAATATTTTGAACAACTTTATTAAAAATATATATAGGTAGATATAGGAAAATAGACCTATATCTCTCCAATAACTCCATTAACATATTTGGTTTTATATCTCTGCAATAAATGTTTTCTTCAAAATCTTTTAAAATTAGTGGTCTTGCTTCTCTATCCCCTTGACGTTAAGTATATTGTGGCTGTGAAGAATGGTGGGTCGACGGTACTTGGTGTTGTCAACCTGTGAGCTTTTTTTTTTTTTTTTTTCTCTCTCAAGACATGCCTATTGCTGGTATGGTATTTTCTTTACTTTGTTTTTCATCTATTTGGGTATGACTATTGCATAAATCCTCTATTTACCTTACAACAGTTTTTGTAATTGGAATTAAAATTAATTTGTGTTCAATTGAATTGGTGTTCCCATAAAAGTGAAATGAACACCCAAAAAAAGATATTTTTCATAGAATGAAGAGGTTAATCTGTTAAACTAATCTCATAATATTTAATTATTTATTATTAGTAGGCTTGTAGTGTTTTAGGAGTTATTATATTATGAGTAGAATTAGTTTTGTTACCAAACTTCTTGAATTCATGTGGTAGTGGAATAGTTTTAAATTAGTAAATTATATTTTGGAGTTTTTTTGGTCTTACGATGTAATGCCATAAATTCTTATTGGATTTAAGAAGCCATTGAATACATATATCAACAGTCTTTTGCTTCATCAACTTCATACACTTTGTATTTATAAAAAATATAATCAAAATTTTATGATCTAAATTTTTTCACGTGTAGCGCACGTGTGTATTAGTAGTAAGTGACAAATTATAATATATTAAAACACTACATAAAAAGTTCAAAACTATTTAGAATATGTATTTCAAATATTTGTTCTCTCTCCCCCTCTCTCTTCACATTTGCCAAAGGTATGATGAAATCTAATTGTACGCGAATGATTAAACGATAAAATTCAAATTATATAATTAATTATTTCCCGAATTGATTTATTTTTACATCTATTTATTTGACTTAGTTTCAATTAATTTTATTCATTTTATTGAAAATAATGATTACACTGCACCATGTGAGATTGATTCTGTCTATGAATGTGAAAAATTGACATTAACTATGCCATTGAATGAGCCACATTAAATCTCAAGAGAAAATCATGGCTCCGCCCCTCATGTGGCCCTTGCCCACGTGTCCAATAACTTCTCCTCTGACTGAAGGTAAGTTGACCCTTCTACGATGCTTGAGCACCAAAATTCTCTCGAAAACCATAAATTCAGACTGGATGAGGAATTTTAGTACGATTAAGTTATTCCACAACAGGACAGCAGGAACATTTTACAAGGGAATGACCCTCCAAGACGAAGTTGTAGCCAAGATACCAATGCATTACGCAGAGTTTAAAAGTGGTGTTATTGATGAAGTGCAAGAATGTCGAAGCAAACCAATGAAAGATAGGTGAATTATACCTTAAATGAACCAAATGTCACACCCTTCTTCCGCTTTGTTAGTTGTGCCATCATAAGGTTGTCATATGCCTTTTCCAGCTGGAAATAACGGATTTGCAAATGATTCATCCCCAAATGAGCAGATAAACTTAATTTCAACAACAACATTTAGTGCACATAGAGTTATTAACTGCTGAAAAAAATAGAGAAGAAGAATATCTTATAACCTACACGGGCAACAGTTGCTTCATCACCTCTCTTCTCGGCCTCCTTACGTTTTCGTGTATATGTTGTCTTGACCATATCAAATCCCTCGATGGGGTTCACACCAAGAACCTAGAAACAAAAGGAGGAGGATGGGAGGAGGACCCAAAATAAGCAATTAACAGAAAGCATAAGGGACTAGTAGTATGTCCATGTTCGCAGGCTCAGATGGAATAACAACAAGACTACCTCATATGGGCTTAAGTCATTATCTGAACTAGAACTTCCAGCAGCGGAGGAAGCAGCACAAATCACCCTTGCATCTAGGGGAGATGTTCTAGAAAACCTGAAAAATTCAATACCCTTTATTAACTGCTGATGAAGGAATAAAAAAACCCAGCTAAAAAGACATTCTTTAAATAACTACAACATTTTGGGCAAAAACATATAAAAAAAAATTAGAATACATATCACAAAAAAAGTCACTTTAACTTCCATTAGTATTATTCACATATTTACAATTGAAAATACCGAAATATATAGACAAAAAAAACTTAACTAGTAATTCAAATCTGTAAGAATTTATTCAGTTTGACAAATAAAATTATCAGAGAAGTTCTGCGAAAAGACAATCAGATCTAAACCTCCATTGGGCTAAAAGAAATCAACAGGTTGAAAAGAGGAATCTACTCTAACAAGTAAGAACCTTAAGAGACAAGAGAATGCCTAGAGTATATTTTTTTTCTGAACTTTGATATCAGAGGTGCTTAATCACCGGACTAGAGGGAATTAATCATGTCTTTTAACTGAATCAAACTAGAGGGTGCAAATTTGGCTAATGAATGAACAGCAATTCTGCAAAATTCCACGTTAGCAAATGTCAAGGAGAATTATTTCACATACAAACTATGATCACGCGAGGGTACAAACAAACCAACATCATTCCCAGAGCCCATTTGGTTCCTTCCATGGCTTAACATGGGGCAATTTTCCAAGTCCCAAACCAATTGGTCACATTCGCATCCACAGTTCGACACACACACGAACAGAATAAATCTGAAATTAAACAAAAATCATGGAAAACAGAAAATAACTTGTTTTTTTTTTATGCTTTTCTGGTCGAAAATTACCTGATAATAGAATATGGAAAGTCCGAAGCTGAAGCTTTAAGAAAACAGTTCTTATTCACAGGCAATCCCAGGAGAAATCGATTAATTTTCTTATTATTGAAAGAAAACTGAGAGGTCTTAGGATGACATCGAATAGGGGTCGATGATATTGTTGCCAAGGCCATTGCTTTGACCTCTCTCTCTCTCTCTCTCTCTGTGGAGAACTGCCCTAGGGCTTTTAGGGGTTTATGCACAGTGTTGGATAGCCGTTATATCCTCTTGCTTTACAATTTCATTGCACAATTGAAGGCAGTATATAACACTGTTAGTGAACTGAGAGCTATTGTTCGCGTGGCCTAATGGATAAGGCGCTCGCCTCCGGAGCGGGAGATTATGGGTTCGAGTCCCATCGTGAACGGTTCAATTTTATTTTTGCCCCATTGGTTAAGTTGGACTCCCTAAAATATTTTAAAATTTAATGTGCCCTCAAAACTTTATTTGTTGCATTACCATCACTAAATTAAAAACGGATATCAATTAATATAAAGGTTCACTGTCAATCAATAATTATAATGCATTAGGTCATTGTCTCAATTTGTACATGTGACGCTTAAATGAGATTATGCAATTATTTTTTGTATTGTTCTAATTTTATCAAATGTGCCCTCAAAACAACCCTCGCCTCAATAAATCCTATTTTTTTGACACAAGGAAATTAGTAAGTATACAGTATGTATATTAGAATAATCAAGTTATACTTTTTATAATTTATTATGTTGAACTCCTTATGTTTTGTTTCAATTTTATCCTTCTCTGAAATTTTTTTTTATCTTTTATATTTTATTATCAATTTTAATTTATTTGAAAATTATATTTTATGGACCTTAAGATATTTGAAATTATGATTGTTTATAATGCATCTTTTTTTCATTCGAATATGACATGTGTTTGAACCCGATTAATCATATACATAAAGTAATATTTCTTTGAATTTTGTTTTGAATTCGGTATATTTTATTTCATGAATTTAAATATAAATATATTGATATACGTATCCGTTTGTAGTCCAACCAAAACTCGAACATCTTTATTGGACTTGTTTGGAGCTTTTTACTAACTTATGCAGTAGCTTTTTGAATTTCAAAAAGCCAAAAGAAAAGTTTATAAAATCAGTTTTTATAAAAACCAACTTATTGAATTAGTATAAATAAACTTTTTGAGTTTTATCGCATATCGTACATAACTTTTTAGTTTATTATATTTATAAAATATTATTGGTGATGTAAAAAAATTTAAAATTCATATTTTGGGAACTATTATGCATAATCTATACATGCATAAAATTATTTTTTTATTTTGACACAAAAAATAAAAAATCTAAAAAGTCGCTCAAAACAAACTTTTTCAATTTTTTTAGCTTTTTAAAGAACACTTCTAATTGTTTTTGAAGGTTTTTTAAACTTTGATTTTTTTGTGAAACTTTTTAAACCGCAGTTTTTTACCTAAAAATGCTAGCTTCAAACATGCCCATGTATGCTTAATATAATATATAAGATAGAGGTAAAAATGAGCAAGTGAAATTAGAAATGGAAGAGCTGTAATTTTTCTTAAGAATACTCTTAATCGGTTCTATTTTTCACACATAAATGTATTAAGTTCTACCATATTTATATTGATAAAATCAAGTCTTACTTTTTTAAAATTATTATCATAAAGTTAAAAACTCAACAACGATTATGTTTTGTTTCAACTGTATCTTTCTCATAAAAATAAATTATATTTTTTTTTTTATTTTAGACTAGCAATGCACGACGTACATTTGCACGTGATTATATTTAAATAATACTTTTGTTATAAAAAATTTAAATTATATGTGAAATAATTATTTTTTATTTTAATTATTACTAAACCTAATTGTAGATCTATTCTACCTTTTTTTGAGTATCTAATTTGTCATATGTTTAGGTATCTTTCAAAGGTTTAGGTATCTTCCAAACCTATTAGATATTTTCTCTTTTATTTATAATAAATTTTAATTGTAATATTTTTTTTATCAGTATTTAAACATCTAATTACATTATAGATTTATTACATATTTTTTTGAATTGATTAATTAAATTATATTATTATTGTTTGTATTATAATAATATGATATTGTTATACCAAAAATTAAATATGACTTATATATTGTTTGTATATATATTCAATTACTACATATATATAGTAATAGAATATAGATTGGACTTTATTTTTTCATATAAATATAGATATAGATATAAAAACCTACATGTAAGTATACTTCTAATCAATGAGTTCAAAAAAATTTAGAAGTTATATCTATATCTATATCTATATATATATCTATACTACTTACAAAAGTATCTTAGCATGAAAAACCTTTAATTTTCTCTATTATTCTTACATATATTTCTATATCCAATCATACCTTAATCTCTTATCTTATTTGACTTAAATAATGACAATTTAATATGTCAATGGAGTGTATTACTCTATGAGAAAATTAATAGACATTTTTATTCAAGTATCATCTCTTTGTCTTCTCTAAATGGTGGAAGTATAATTGCAACTATCATTTCAGGTAATAAAAACATGATAAATAGTATGTTATTACAAATCAAAGTTACGGAAGCTAAAAGACCTTAGTGCAAGTGGGGGGCATAAAAAGCCATAAAAGGTCCAAAATGTTTAATGAATTGCAAAGGGCATATGCCAAGTATAAATTCATTCCACCCTCAATACATAAAAACCACTCAAATTACGCAAATTATAAGCATACCAAATATAATAGATCTCTATACCAAAGAACTTAAGACTTGACTGGTTAATGTACAACACTTGAGGCAGTGGTGGGGGTGCACTCATACAATCGAGCCCATTCATGTTGGTTGCACGACATCTATTTCAGCAAAGGTGGCACCAACGACAGGGACAATAACAATTGTTATTCCTTTAGTGGGTGTGATAGAAATTAGCAAGTATGTCTCTAACATAAGAAATTGAGACATTTGCCATAAGAGATAAAATAAAAAAATACCATGAGTATAGGCACATGTAGGGCTAGCATTATTTTGAAACTAAGACAAATTCAAATGACCTAAAATATGACTCATACATAATCAACCATTTCCATAAATAGGTTGAAAAATGATGACTTAGTTTGGGTTAATCCAACAAGATGTGCACCTCGTGTCGAGATCCAATTCGACAACAAAATTTTCATTTTAAATTTGAAATACCAAAAAAAAAAAAATGGAAAACATTGCTCTGGTATTGAAATCAATTAAAACATTGAGGACTTGATTGTTCTAATTGGAATTTCAAGAATGAAGCTGAAACATGACTCATACTTGAAGAGTGTAAATCCTAAACTGCTCAAACAACACTTATACTTCAACTTAGGTCACGTGCAACACACGTGTGTACCAACTGGTACTATTAATAAAAGAGTCCAAAAGAACTTAGAAGTCAAATAGGTATAGGAAATAGAATTTGAATGAAAGTAATAAAAAATTTAGAAGTCAAATACTATTTATAGAAAAGTCCAAAAACACTTAGAAGTCAAATAAGTATAGGAAATCAAACTTGGATGAAAAAAATAGGTGTGTATCATATATTGTCTTTATATTAATAATTATGAATAAAATAGAAAAATCAAAATTTTTTCAAATATGACATTTATAAGTAGTATATATATATTAACGAGCATAAATTGCTTACAAGCCTAACACATGTCCTTGAAGCCGACACGTGTGCTCAAGGTTGACACTTGAGCTCTGCCTATTAATAAGAGGACTTCAGCACCCACCTAGCTGCTTGCTCGCCCATATCTCAACTCGCAGTCCAACCAATTGCCCGAAGAGTAGCTCAAACCAGTTGCCAAGCCTTTGAAGGAAGTTTCACTTTTTCTACCGCCTTATTCAAAAAGTAGCTAAAGAGCTCCATCGGCACATTTTGCCTACCTATAAAAGGGTCATGCTAGCCATGAACTAGATAATCCATCTTCTCATGCTATATACAATTCTTTCGTTATTCCAATTCTGACTTAATTATTGGAGAGTTCGACTGCTGGAGCCCCTTCGGTCTTTATCTTTCTTTGCAGGAACTCCCCATCAATTGCCAAATCATCCCACAACCCCGTGGTGCAACTTTCAGGATTAACAATTTGTTCCACCTATGGGAACGACTTTGTTGCCAATAACAAGTTTTAGATTCCATGGCCATAACTAGAACATCAAAGGAGCTTGTGAGGAATTAGACTTATAAACGTCCTAGAACCCACCCGATGGGACAATGACCCATACTGCCCTCAGGGAAAAAATCAGCAAAGGTTAAGAGATTAGAGAAGATGGCCGAGGAGCTAGAGCCCCAAAACCAATAGATTCTCCAACTCCTGGAGAGAGATCAATCTCAAACTAGGGAACATGCGAGAGATAACCAAGAAATTGATCAAAGCCAAAATGAAGTCATTCGCCCCCACGTTAATGACCAATAAGAACAAAAGCTTCAAGAAGTTAATGAAAAATTGGGAAACATCATAAACACGGTAAAAGCCCAGGTCTCAAAAGTTGTTGAGTACCTGGTGCAACATACCGAGTCACTATTTTCTAGAACATATCCAATTACCCTTTACCAGAAAGATTTAAAATGCCAACAATTAAAACCTTCAATGGAACCAAGGGCCCACTGGACTATCTGGAGACCTACAGGTCTATAATGATTCTTCATAGCATTTTCAGATCAAATAATGTGTCGGGCTTTTGCCACAACCCTTAAGAGGACTGCTAGGCATTGGTTCAACAAGTTAAAACCTAACTTAATTAGCAAATTCGAAGAGCTTAGTACCTCCTTCATCTATCACTTCATTGGGGGTTTGCTCATTGGTGGCCCCTAACATATCTCCTTAATGTCAAACAAACAAGGGGCCAAACACTATGAGACTACACCAACCGCTTCACCATGGAGTCACTTCAGACTGACAATGTGGATAATAAGGTAGCTATGACTACCTTCATGGGTGGATTGCAGTTTTTCCAACCTCTCCAAAGATCTTTTTTTATCAATAACCGGGCTTTTATCAAGAGCCCAAAGTTACATGAACGCTTAAGACACTCTCCTAGCTCATAAGAACTAGGAAAATATGCCTGAAAATAGATGAGAAGATAAG